ACCCCGGAGCCCTGCCAGAGGGAGAACACGCTGGGCAGATTGCGGGTGAGCTGGGTTCCAGAGCCTGCTTTCGAGCCACCGGCCACGGTTCCATGCGTGACGTTCCTATGAAGGTTGGAATTTTGAACCCTTGAAAAGAAACCGGCAAATTAGGCACGAATCCCCCTGTGCCTTGGCCCTGCCTCTTTGGAGGGACCCTGTGGAGTGCGGAGCCGGGTCCCATTTGGCCGTTGCAAACGGGGGAGTGTCGGGAAGCACTTGTGCCATGGGGGAGGGGTGTCCGGTTTCTCGGAGGAGACATTTGCTCCTTCAGCTTCCCAGCCGCCATGGAGACCGTGGTGATCGTGGCCATCGGTGTGCTGGCCACCATCTTCCTGGCGTCCTTCGTGGCGCTGGTGGTGGTCTGCAGGCAGCGCTACTGCCGGCCCAAGGATCTGCTGCGCCATTATGACACCAAGTGCAGGAGCTGAGATGCCCAGTCCCTTAGCTCGTCCGGGGGGATCCCCGGGGTAACGGAGCAGGAAGTCCAGGCGGGTCCGTCGGCCCACGAGAGACTTTCCCTCAGAACGCAGGCCCTGGGGAGCGGCCGTGGGACATTGCTTCCCCGGGCAGCGAGCTGCATGCCCAGCGGGACCCCTCGGGGGCAGCCCCCTCCCAGGCTGAGGGGAGGGCTCTGGAAACGACGTGGAGCCTGCACCCGCCATGCGGCCAGGCTCCCGTTGGGCGCTGAGCGTCTAGGCCTCTAGGTCCCCCAGGCAGGTCCCGGTACCCCAAGCAGGGGTTTCAAAATCCCCTGGGCACCTTGGAGCTTCTTTCTACTGAAACCCAAGGGGTTTGGGCACCGCCCCAGGTGCCTGCCTGCACCTTTAGGTGCCTGAAGTCCTTTGTAATTCTGGCCTCTGGGGGCCCTTGGTTATTGCTCTCTCTCACTCACACACACACACACGCACACACACACGCACACACACGCCCACACACACGCACACACACGCACGCGCCCACACACACGCACACACGCACACACACACGCACACACACGCACGCACACAAACACACACACGCACGCACGTTGCTGAACACCCCATTCCTGGTTGTTCCAGGCCGATTGTTGACCTGATCGGGGCGATGGAGACACAGTCGGAGCCCTCGGAGCTGGAGCTGGACGACGTGGTGATCACAAACCCTCATATCGAGGCCATTCTGGAGAACGAAGACTGGGTCGAAGATGCTTCGTAAGCATTTCAAAGCTGCCTCTTGTGAGGTCT